CCAGAATGCTTCCCCAAATACCTCAATATGTGAAAACATTATTATTATTATTATTATTACTATAATATTGTCATCCCCTAAGCTCCTACCTAGCGAAGCTGTGTCTCTGAACCTATTTCAGAGTTTCTCCCCTTCCAGAAGGGTGGTGTCCTCCCCATTTGCTCCCTTGTTTTGAATGATTTGCACTTACCCATCAATAATTCATTCATCTTCTGTGTATTCAGTCTCCTGTCCAGACCAGGGCTGGAGCAGTGAAGGAGTGAGGCACTTGGAAGGAAGTGTTTGAGCTTCGCTTGTCAGCTTCGTGGTTTCATGATATGGAGGCGATGGTCCTGTTTGACCACAGCAGGGAAACATTGTTCCTAGTTTTCCAGGTAGATAAGGGAGCATTGGGTTACGAGTGGTCTCGGTCTCAGGGTGAGATGAGACCTCAGCTTTGAAAGGCTTTTAGGTTCGGGTCGAAATGGGATTGGTGCCTGCCTAGAGAGGGATCAGGGATCTGGCTAGGGAATCATTGAGAAATAAATAAGGTATCAGGGTCCATTTTGTATTGGAAGCGAAATTGCTGGTCTTGAGTGAATCCGTGTTGTTCTGGATCGGTGTACGTTGGTGTGTTCTAACTCAGCAGCAGGAGTTCAGGAAGGAATTGTAGAGAGGAAGCTCATCTAGAACTACACGCGGTAGATGAAACTGAACTGTGGGCAGGAGGTTAGGATTTGTGTCCAACCTAAATATCGTAATAGTATAATATGTTATATTTTAATATTATCATTAATACCTTAATACTTTAAGAAAGATTAAATCTGATATCTATACGAGGGACTAAGTGAAAACATTAGTCAGAATAAAGGAAATGCTTGTGACCTGATCTGACGTATAATAAACTTGTGTCTTGATAAAATTACTTAATTTTATAGAAATTCTATTTCCTAAGGTAGAAACTTTATCAGTTTTTTTGCAGTATAATTGACATATAATTAAGTGTATGTATTTTGTCTTTTTAAAGCAGCGGTATTGAAATATAATTGATAATAAACTGCTCATATTTGAAGTGTAAAATTTGATAAGTTTTGACATATGTATACACGTGTGAAGCCATCGCCACAGTCAAGATAACATATCCATCACTCCAAATTTTTCTCACACCCCTTTATAATTGCCCCTCCCTGCCTCCCCGACCCTGCCCTAGTGCCCAGGGGACCCCAGTTCTGCTGTCTGTCACTATAGGTTAGTTTGCATTTTCTAGAATTTTATATAAATGGAGTCATACAGTATGTACTCTTGTTTTTGGTCTGTCTTATTCAGCATATTTATTTTGTGAGTCATTCATGTTGTTGCATATGTTACTAGTGCATTCCATTTTATGGCTGACTAGTATTCTATTCTCAAGATACAGCACAATCAGTTTATCCATTCCTCTGTTGATGGACATTTGGGTTCTTTCCACTTTTTGGCTATTACAAATAAAGCTACTGGGAACTTTCATGCACAAATCTTTGTGTGGACATATGCCTTTATTTCTCTTGGGTAAAACACTGGGAGTGGAATGGCTGGGTCATATGGATGTTTAACTTTTTAAGAAACCAATAAACTCTTTTTCAAAGTGATTGTTCCAGGGCTGGCCCTGTGGCCGAGTGGTTAAGTTCACTCGCTCTGCTTTGGCGGCCCAGGGTTTCACCGGTTCAAATCCTGGGCTTGAACATGGCACCGCTCATCAAGCCGTGCTGAGGTGGCATCCCACATGCCACAACTAGAAGGACCCACAACTTAAAAAACATACACAACTATGTACCAGGGGGCTTTGGGAGAAAAAGGAAAAATAAAATCTTTAAAACAAAAAAAAGTGATTGTTCCATTTTACATTCCCACCAGCCGTGTATAAGAGTGCCATTTTTTCCACATCCTCACCAACACTTAAAATGGTCAGTTTTTTTTAATTTTAGCCACTCTAATAGTTTTGTAGTCATACTTTCTCTTGGCAGTAAGCTGGGGCCATCATAGGGTTCGCTTCATTGGTTACCTGTCTCTTAGAGATCACAGTTTTTCATTGCCCAGTGTTTTCTGTCTTGAAAACCATCATTTCATACATTTTGGTCAAGTTTTTGGTTGTTTCATGTGTGAGGGTAAATTCAATCTGTGTTCTTCTATTTCAGCTGGGAGAGATTTGATAATTCATTTGGGGGGAAAAAAAGTACCAATTCTTTTTGTATATTCCTTGAAGAGAAAAAATGTAAGAACTTGCACACAGCAGGTAGTGTGCTTATATATACTGTTTCCTTTAACTGGGAAAGTCTGATTACTGTATTTATTTTTATACATTTGGATATTTAAGTTTTTGTATATTAAAAAAAATTTGTGGGGGCTGGCCCCGTGGCCGAGTGGTTAAGTTCGCGCGCTCCGCTGCAGGCGGCCCAGTGTTTCGTTGGTTCGAGTCCTGGGCGCGGACATGGCACTGCTCATCAAACCACGCTGAGGCAGCGTCCCACATGCCACAACTAGAAGGACCCACAATGAAGAATATACAACTATGTACCGGGGGGGCTTTAGGGAGAAAAAGGAAAAAAATAAAATCTTTAAAAAAAAAAAAAAAATTTGTGTACTTCAACAGGATTCTTCAAGATTGTGTAGGTACAATTAATTTATTCTCATCGAACCAGGTCATGATCTTGTAACTTCAGCCTACTTGTTTTTATATATTGCCTCCTTACTGCAATTCAGTATTCCATCCTGAAAATTCTTTTATTTTTACAAATAACACGTGGGTTTGCCATTTCAGGTGCCATTGACGTTCAGTGATGTTGCCATAGACTTCTCTCAGGAGGAGTGGGAATGCCTGAACTCAGCTCAGAGGGGTCTGTACAGAGATGTGATGCTGGAGAACTATACGAATTTGGCCTCACTGGGTAAGGACATCTTCCTGAAATGATATAGACTCTGCTACCTGGAACATCCGCTTTCTCTGCTGTATATTTTATGCTCTAGGCCAAGAAACCAGCTAAATGTCTGCTCCATATTCTCCAAGGATGAGTTTGAGCTTTGACAGATGGAAATGGGCACCTCCATTGAGCACCTGAATCTTCCCTATCCTTCATTACCTTCCTACCTCTCTCTGCCCCATCCTGCAATTGCTTCTTTTTCTAAATGACTAAAGGTTTGAATTCTGGGACTTTTTTATGCATAGCCACTGGCAAAGAAAACAAATTGCATGTTATATGTATGTTCAGAATGTCTCTAAATATTCTAATTGCTGGTGCACCTATATGGAGAATGGGTTATTCCTCTTTACTACAAAAAAGCCTTGGTAATTTTTACAGTGGTGGAATGAATCAAGATCATTATCTTTTTGAATATTATTTTTTGTACTTATAGCCGTGGAAATGTTGGCTTGCACTGATTTGATAGATTTTACTCAGAAGTGGAAGTCTTTGTTCAGTTTTTGGAAAATACTTGACCATTCTCTCCTCTCTCCTGGGACTCCAGTTATACGTATGTTGGATCATTTGAGCATATCTCACAGTTCTGTCACGTGTTTATCTTCTTTTCTGTCTGTTGTTTTCTGTTGCCCTGTATGCCAGCTCACTTATCCTATTCTGCTGTCATCAGTCTGCTCCTAAAGAGGAGTTTTTCATATCAGATGTTTTCTTCAGTTCTAAATACACAATTTGATTGCCTTTTATAACTTCCAATTATCTGTTGAAATTCTTCATTCTTTATGTACTTTCTTTTCACTACTGTCATTTCATCTGTTTTCTTAAATATTTTAATCACAGTTATTGTGGAATTCTAGCATGCCTTCCTTTTTTGTATCATCCATGGGTCTGCTTCTTTCGTTTCTTTTTTTCCTCTTGTTATCCACTATATGGTAATGCCTCTTCAAGTTACTAGTAATTGTGATTGTGTGCTGGACATTGTGTACAAGAGAACTGAAGAGATTCCAGGTGATGCTATCTTCTACCAGGGAGTATCTACATTTTTCCTAACAGTCTGATATGGCAGGGATGTAGCTGGGTCAGTGCTGGGTTTCAGTTTTGGTTTTACTCAGCTCCCTCTTTTCCATCGCTGTGCCTTTACCTCCAGCTGTACTCAGAATCAGTGAGTTTCTCCAGGGGACAAGTGGTCGTAGAGCCTCAGGGCCAATGCACCATTCTTTCTGATTGTTGTTGCTTATCTGTTTTGATTTCAAGCTTCCTCGCCAAATGGATCTTTTGTTCCCAGGAAAAATGCTGAAAATTAACAACCTAATCATCCATTTGATAAGTTAGGAAAAGAAGAGCACAGTAAACTTAAAGAAAGTAGAAGAAAGGAAATAATAAAGGAAAGACAAGAAATTAATGAAGTAAAAAGCAAACATAAAAAAGAGCATGTCACAACCATGAATTTGATTATCGTAAAGAACTGATAAAATTGGTGCAACTCTCTCAAGATGAATCAAGAAAAATATCTACGTAAGCAACAAAGGGGACCTCTTTACAGGCCATGAAGCCTTGAAAATTATAATAATATTTTGATAAACATTATGCCAAAAACTTTGAAAAATCAAGTGAAATAAATTATTAGAAAATTTTAATCTACAGAAATCTCCACTCAAGGAAAAAAACCCAGAAAATGTGAGAAGTCTTATAAGCACTAAAGAAACTGAGTTAGTCATCAAGAGTCTTCCCGCAAATCGGGAGATTCAGGCCTACGTGGTTTGTCATTAAAGTATAAATGCAACAGTTTGAACGTGCAAGAATTTGGGGAAAATTTTCCCCATGAGCTCTTTTATGTTGAGTCTAACAAAGAATAAACTACACAAAAGTATGAGATGAATAGAAAAATGACAACTTGAAAATATAGAGTATATTTATAATAGTTTTTTTTTTTGGTGAGGAAGATTGGCCCTGAGCTAACATCTGTGCCAATTATCCTCTATTTTGTATGGGGGATGCCACCACAGCATGGCTTGATAGTGATGTGTAGGTCCATGCCCAGGATCTGAACCCACGAACCCCAGGCCACCGAAGTGGAGCATGCGAACTTGACTGCTCTGCCACTGGGCCGGCCCCTATAATAGCTCTTTTAATTTTCTTGTCTACTAATTCTCTGTATCATTCTTGGTCTGTTTCTTTTAATTGATTTTTCTCCTAGTTAAGGGTGATATTTTCCTGCTATTTGCCTATCTGATAATTTTTTACTGGATGCTAGACATTGTAAAGTTTACTTTAAAGTTTTAGTAAACTTTGTAAACATTGTAAAGTTTTACTCTGTTGGGATGCTGTCTTTAATATTCTTGTGCATATTTGGGGGCTTGCTTCTGGGATTCAGTTATGTAATTTGGAACCTGTTGATCCTTTTGTGGTTTGCTTGTAAGCTCTATTGGGGTGGGTCCAGAACAGTTTTTAGTCGAGGGCTAATTTGGCCCCCATCCTGAGGCAGGACTGTGCTCGGGACTCTGTTTGATGCCTCCCCTGTCCGGGGATCTTTCCATCCTGGCGGGTGGAAACAGGAACTGTCCTCTGCCCTCTGTGACTACCAGGGACTGTTCTGCCTGTGCCTGTCTGGTGGTCCTTTCCTGGGCCTCATTCATTTCTTCACATGCGTGTGAGATCCTTACTCAGCCGGAGTCTCAAGGGGATCCCTCGATGGTTCTCTAGAGGTTTCTGTCCACGCAGCTCCCTCCTTTCTGGTACGCTGCCTTGCAAATTCTGTTCTTCTTCTCTCCCTTAGTCTACTCCTTCTCCTCAACTCAGGGGTAAAGCTGGGCTCTGTTTCAGTTCCCCTCCCTGGGCTCTGTTCTGGAAATTCGCTTCAGGAGTCAGCTGTGGCACTTGGAGTCCTCACTTCACTTGTTTCCCTTCTCTTAGGGGACCACTGTCCTGTACTGCCTGTTGTCTAAGATCTGAAAGCCATTTCATATATTTTGTTTGGTTTCCAGTATTTAAGGTAGGAGGGTAAATCTGACTTCTCTGAATGTTACGTGACCAGAAGCACAAGTTATTGACTCTCTTGATCATTGAAAAATTCTTTGCACTTTAGTACAAGAGGTCCCCGACTCACCTTGTGTCTTCTCTGCCCTGGACTAGGAATTAGCTGTTTCTCCCAGGCACCCTAGTCCACATTAGTGGGAAACAGATTATAGAGACTGAAACTAGTCAACAGGGAGGCTAATGGTGATAGGCTTTTTGTGGGGATCAATATACAATTTTTTTCTATTTCTTTTGTGGAAGTTGATTTGTTCAGATTTTCCATCTCTTCTAGAGTCTGCTTGTTGTTGCCTTCACATTTTTATTTTGAAATAATTTTAGATTTACAGAAGAGTTACAGATGTGGTACAGAGAGTTCCAGTAATGGAAATACTATTCCTGTAATGATAACATTTTCCATAACAATGGTACATTTATGGAAACTATCAGATTAACATTTTGCGGTACTATTAACTAAACTCAACATTTTATTCAGATTTCATCAATTTTTGCACTAATGTCTTTTTTCTGTTCCAGGATACAATCCAGGATACCACGTTACTTTTAGTCGTCATGTGTCTGTAGTTTCCTCCAAATGTGACAGTTTCCCCATCTTTCCTTCTCTTTCATGACCTTGATACTTTCAAAGAGTACTGGTCAAGTGTTTTGTAGAGTACCCTCAAATTTGGCTTTGTTTGATGTTTTCTCAGGATTAAATTGAGATTATGGATTTGGGGGAAGAATACCAAAGAAATTCCCTTCTCATCATGTCATATTGGGGGTACGTGATATCAACGTGATGTACCACTGGGATGTTAACCTTAAAAACTTATTTAAGGTGGTGTCTGTCAGTTTTCTTCACTGTAAAGTTATTATTTTTCCTCTATTACATATCTATTGCCTCATTTGTTTTATGATTTATTTTCTTACTCTAAAACTTGTGTATTGTTGCAAAACTTCCTTCAACTACCCCTGGAAAACAAGTCCTTACCACAAGGTAAGTATTAAATAATTGTAGAATAAAATATTGAATTTTAAAAAGTAACTTGGATGAAAATCAAGGTAAATAAGGCTGAAAATCAAGGTTACCGGGGAAGGCACTGAATAAAATAACCATTTAGTTTCTGAAAATTATGTAACAGTTGTCAACTCTCTCTCCCTGACCCTAATCTCTCACACCTTATTACAGTAAAGTATGCTTTCCTCTATTATTTACCTTACACGCGAGAAAAACGCACATTCAAACTAGCTTGGTCAAAAATATAAATGGAAGAGTTGATACCTGATCATTCTTTAAGTGTCTGCTCCCTTAAAAATATACATGTCTCTACCACTATTGTTCAGTCCTTCCTCTGCATGGCCATGATTTTCTGCTTTTATCTCACTCAAGGTAATCAGGTGGTGTGTTACCTTCATCAGTAGAGTTTTAATATTATTCATCCATCCTACAGGTATGCAGTCTGTTTTGTTTCTCCAATGTCTTTCCCAAATTCTCCCTTCTGTTTCTTTACAGCCAAAGCCAGTCATTCTTGAATTTCACAGAAATGTATTTCAGGAATTGTATTAACTAATATTATTTTAAAAGGCTTATGAAAGTCTAAGCGAATAAACTTGAGGATATTGGGAAGAAATAAGATAACTAAATAACATGGGGAAAGAGTCTGGGAAACTGAGTGCCTGGGACTCTGCAACAGTGGATGTGTTGAATGCAGGCTGAAGATTGGCAATCGGATAGTGGAGCAGCCTGAGGAAATCTAACGTGCTAAATGGGTCAAGCAGGAGTTGGAGACGAGTGGAATTCTTCTGTGGCAAAACGTAGGGCCGGCCCCATGGCCAAGTGGTTGAGTTCACACAGTCCACTTTGGCGGGCCAGGGTTTTGTTGGTTTGGATCCTGGACGTGGACCTAGCCCTGCTCATCAAGCCATGCTGAGGTGGCATCCCACATAACAAAACCAGAAGGACCTACAACCAGAATATACAACTATGTACTAGGAAGCTTTGAGGAGAAGAAGAAGAAAAGAAAAGATTGGCAGCAGATGTTAGCTCAGGTGCCAATCTTTAAAAAAAACAAACAAAACCCCTTAGGTGTTGGAATATAGAATAAAGGATATGTATTAATTTAGAGTTAGTAGAGGCAGCCTTTCTGAGGAGGTGACTTCTAACCTGTAACACTTGAAGATAGTAATTTAAAAAAGCCGCCTCAGGATTCCTGAAATGTGGAGCACTTGTGTGAAGCCCCAGGAGATGCGGAAAGTTGTGGTATATTCTAGAAGCTGAAGAGATGTGGCGTGAGAGGATGTAGGGGAAAAGATCTCAAGGGCTTGCAATGCATTTGTATAAATACAACAGAGCTTTTTTATTCATAGTTGTGTGTTTGGGTTTCATTCTAAGACAAAGACAAACCATTGAAAAAATTACATAGAGAACCATCTGGTAGATAATGTTAGAAATGTAGTTGACCAGGGGCTCCTCCTAAAGATTCTGATAGACTCAGTCTCAGTGGATGTCTGAAAGGTTGAAAATGTAGGAAGTTCCCCCGGAAATTCTGATCCACAACTAAATGTGAGAACTACTGAGTTTTTCCCTTTGCCTGCTCACAAATCTTACATTGTCATGTGAACTTTCCTAATTTTCTGAGCCCTTCTTGCCATCTTAAAATTTCATGACTGTATTTTAGAATTTTATGACCCTTTTACTTCTCATGAATATCCTTTTCAATTTATCACTATTTTTGCTATAGAAGGCCCCTCTTGACCCCCAGCACAGCAAAATAGCATTTGTTTGTTTTCTCATTTTCTTTCAGACTTTGACTTCACAACTGAGACCAACAAGTTATCTTCAGAAAACAGCAGTTATGAAGTAAATTCATGCCATCGGGAGACAATGAAAAGAAGTAAAACCTTCAGCCTCATGGGCTTTATTTTCAGAAATGACCAACAGTGCAGTGTTGAATTTAGGAGCCAACAGGGACCTAAAGTGGGATGTTTTAGTCAAATGACATTCAGAAAATGTATCTCCCTTCCTCTATGTCAGAGAATTCACACTGGAGAGAAATCCTATGAATGTAAGGAATGTAGGAAGAGCTTTACTAAATATTCACACCTTACTGCACATCTGAGAGACCATGGTGGTGTGAGACCCTATGAATGTAAGGAATGTGGAAAGACCTTTACAGTTCTTCAGCATTTTATTAGACATAAAAAAGTTCACGCTGATTTGAAACCCTATGAATGTAATGGATGTGAGAAGGCCTTTAGGTTTTATTCACAGCTTATTCAACATCAGATAATTCATACTGGTGTAAAGCCCTATGAATGTAAGCAATGTGGGAAGGCCTTTAGACGTCATTCTCACCTTTCTGAACATCAGAAAATTCATATTGGTTTGAAACCCTATGAATGTAAAGAATGTGGGGAAACTTTCAGATTATACCGACATATGTGTCTACATCAGAAAATTCATCATGGCGTGAAACCCTATCTGTGTAAGGAATGTGGGAAGGCCTTTGGTCATCGTTCAAGTCTTTATCAACATAAGAAGATTCATTCTGGTGAGAAACCATATAAATGTAAACAGTGTGGAAAGGCCTTTGTTCGCAGCTATCTGCTCATTGAACATCAGAGAAGTCACACTGGTGAAAAGCCTCATGAATGTAAGGAATGTGGAAAGGCCTTTAGTAGGGGCTCAAGCCTTCTTAAACATAAGAGAATTCATAGTAGTGAGAAACTCTATGATTGTAAGGAATGTGGGAAGGCCTTCTGTAGAGGCTCTCAACTTACGCAACATCAGAGAATTCATACTGGTGAGAAGCCACATGAATGCAAAGAATGTGGGAAGACTTTTAAGCTTCACTCATACCTTATTCAACATCAGATAATTCATACTGATTTGAAACCATATGAATGTAAACAATGTGGGAAAGCCTTCAGTCGTGTTGGAGACCTTAAAACACATCAGTCAATTCATGCCGGGGAGAAACCCTATGAATGTAAGGAGTGTGGGAAAACCTTTAGACTTAATTCTCAACTAATTTATCATCAGACAGTTCATACTGGTTTGAAACCATATATATGTAAAGAATGTAAGAAGGCCTTTCGTTCTATCTCAGGTCTTTCTCAACATAAGAGAATTCATAGCGGTGAAAAACCCTATGAGTGTAAAGAATGTGGTAAGGCCTTTAATCGTAGTGATCGACTCACTCAACATCAGAGAATTCATACCGGTGTAAAACCACACAAATGTAAGGACTGCGGGAAGGCCTTTACTCGTTGCTATCAACTTACTCAACATCAAAGATTTCACAGAGATGAGAAAGTCTTAATATAATGAAAGTCGGAAAGCCTTTGGTGGTGGCACATCCTTTACCAAGATCACTGTTTCAGCACGTAATGATGTTACAGTAAAGATTAAATTATTTCACATAAAATATAAACATTTGGAAGGGCTGGTACATAGCATTTGCTTACTAAATATTATTATTTTTATGATAATCACTAGTGTTACTTTAAATAAATTCTGTGGAAGGAAGACCCTATGAGAATATTTTGAAAATCTTTCTGTCAGCACTTATCCATATTTTACTTAAGATAGTTCATTCTGGACAAAATCCCGTAGAAATAAGAAACTTTTATATTCAAAGCTCATGCCCCTGAAGATTAATAATAGGAAGAAACCCTGTGCCTTTGTTGAATATTGAGAGTATGACTGTTGAAAAATTGGGGCGTGGTTTGAGGAAATCTTCTTACAATAAATTCTATTCATACAGAAAACACAATCCACATTCTCCACAATTCAGAGAAATTAGAAACTAACAATTGGGTAGCCAAAAGATAGATGTTGACTTGAAAAGTTTTCTTCAAGCTTTTGAGTTTTCAAATTTACATAAAAGGTACAACAGTGATATAATGAAGGTTTGTTTGCCCTCCACCTAGATTCAATATATCTGATATCTCTCTCCATATGTATGGAAATGTGTATGTACAGATGCACATATATCATTCTTAGTACATACTGACAATATAGTACATAGATCACTTAGCTGTGCTGTTTGAGTGAATGTTTAGACATAACTTCACCTCTAAAAACTCAATATATAACCCCTAGAATTAAAGATAACCTTCTACATGATCACTAAACCATTGTTTACCTAAAAAACATTAACAGTAACCCTGTAATGTTATAAAATATTCAGTCCATTTATAAATTTGTCCCATTGTTTAAAGAATGTTTTCTAAAAGTGCTGGCTTTTTTAAAAGCCAAAAACCAGACTAAGCTCATATATTTTATAATATTAGGGCTTATTGAGTCTCTTTTGGTCAAGAACTTACCCTCCACCTTTTTTGTGACTTAGACTTTTTGGAGACTCCTGAGAGAGAACCTGTATGATGTTGCACATTCTGTGTTTGTCCTGTTTTGTTTCTTTTTTTGCAAAGTGGGCTTAACTTGTCTCTCTGTTTTGTATTTATTGTGAACTGGAGGTTATGTTTAGAGGCTTGATTAGGTTTCAGATTAAACATTCTTGACAAGACTACTTAGATAATATTGTGTACTTAATATTGTAAAATATCGGGTGGCATACAAGTGAAACTGTGTTTGATCTCTTTATTCATGTATTGGCCACCAGCTCTCCATTGTATTAGTATGTTTTTTCTTTGAAATTAATAAGTAATCCATGGAAAGTCACATTGGCACTCCACTTTGAAACTTAAGCCGTGTTATGTCTTTTTTTTTTTTTTTTTTTTGAGGAAGATCAGCCCTGAGCTAACTACTGCCACTCCTCCTCTTTTTGCTGAGGAAGACTGGCCCTGAGCTAACATCATGGCCCGTCTTCCTCTACTTTATATGTGGGCTGCCTACCACAGCATGGCTTTTGCCAAGCGGTGCCATGTCCGCACCTTGGATCTGAACCGGTGAACCGTGGGCTGCTGAGAAGTGGAACATGCAAACTTAACCACTGCACCACTGGGCCGGCCCCTATGTATTTTAAAGAGGTTAAGACCCAAAAAACCGCTCATCTTTTACATTTACGCATGTATTTACCTTTTCTCATGCTCTTCCTTCCTTCCCAATGATCTGAATTTCTATCTGGTATCATTTCCCTTCAGCTTGAAAAACAATTTAGCATTTTTTGGAATGCACTTCTGTTAGTGATGAATTTTCATAGTTTCTTTTACTGAAATGCCTTTGTTCTTGCAGGATGTTTTTTTCTTGCTATAGAATTCTGGGTTTTGTTTTGTATTTTTTTGAAAAAAGATATTGTATCACTGACTTCTGGCCTCCATAGGTTATGATAAGAACTTGTTTGAATTATTTTTCCTCCGTAACATGTCATTTCTCTCTGTGTGCTTTCAAGATTATCTCATTACCTTTGGTTTTCAGCTGTGTGCATTCTATGGGTCAGTGTGGTTTTCTTTGTGTTAATCCTGCTTAGGGTTCTCTGAACCTCTGAAATCTGTACACTTATGCTTTTCACCAAGTTTCAGAAACTTCTGGCCATTATATCTTCAGATATATTTTCCTACCCTTTCTTCTCCTTCTGGGATTCCAAGTACTTGTATGTTAAATCTTTTGATGTTGCCCCAAAGGTTACTAGCTCTGTTATTTATCTTCAACCTTTTTTCTTTTTTTCAGATTGGCTAATTTCTATTGCTCTGTCTTCAGGATCACTGATTCTTTTTTCTGTCATTTCAGTTCTGCTATTAAGCTTATCTAATGTTTAATTTGAGACACTGCATTTTTCAGTTCTAGAATTTTCATTTAGTACTTTTTTATAGTTTTCTAATTCTTTGCTAAGACTTCCTGTTTCTTCATTGCGAGCATATTTTCACAATGCTTTTGATCCTGGTGAAAATATTCTGTATATTGATTCATGCTAGGAAAACATGTAAACTTACTAACTTATGAAAAGTTTCAGTTTCAACAAATGTCCCTACCCTTTTAGCTAGGTCACAAAAAAGGCTTTTCCTTTCCTTGGATTTTGTTTGTTCATATGCAGTGTGATACTGGTGAGAAAAGATAAATCACACTGTCATGTTTTGGGTTTTGATTATGAAATATTTGGCAAGTATTTTTCTTAAAGTCTTGAACTGGAGTTAAAAGTCAGTAAGTCTTTGTAAAACTCTTCCACCGTTCAACCACTGAGGACTTTTTTCATACCTAGCTTGAATTTTTTTGATGTATATGGAAGATTAAAAAATATCTGTGCTATGAATCTGATTTTGTAGGGTGCAAATTGACAACATTTCTTCTTGATTTTAAAGTCTTTTGAGACAAAATGTACCCACAGTATTAATTGGGCAGTGTCTCATATTGCACAACTCATCTAAAGCTGAAGAAGAGTATGTGTAGCCTTTCTAATCTTGAGTTAATTGCTCCTTGATATTGTTAGAAAGATCTTCTATGAGCAATTGTTTGGTGGCTTAATTGAAGATATTTTTCACTTTTTATAAAATATAATTTAGTCTTTTTTCATAATATCCTAAAAAATTTTCTATAAGTAAACTAATAATTTATCTTTCTATCTCTCCATCTAAAATTTGATGTCTTTTTTGGTTTTTTTTAATTTATTGTGCAAACAGCTTTTTTGTTTTGCTCTGTCACAGCAATTACAGTTGGCGTTCATTGTGAAATTCACAGTACATCTTTTTCCAGTCTCTATTTTTTTCACTGTTCTGGCCATGGCATTGGTCTCCACTTGATTGGGCATCATTAATATACTTTCATTTTAAGTTTAAAAATTTGGGGGCCAGCCCAGTGGCACAGTGGTTAAGTGCACGCCTTCTGCTTCAGCAGCCTGGGGTTTGCTGGTTCGGATCCCGGGTGCGGACATGGCACCACTTGGCAAGGCATGCTGTGGTAGGTGTTCCACATATAAAGTAGAGGAAGATGGGCACGAATGTTAACTCAGGGCCAGTCTTCCTCAGCAAAAAGAAGAGGATTGGCAGTAGATGTTAGCTCAGGGCTAATCTTCCTCAAAAAAAAAAAATTTGTACATATTTTTAAACCTAGAATAATAATTTAATTATAATTAAAGTAGCATTTAAATTTAATTAACAATTATTACTTCTTTCATATCACTGTAACTCATCTTCAGAAAATATGCAAATAAACACATCAGTTTCTTGACATCAACTAGATCAATGATGTGTTTATGTATAATGCTAGAAATAACATATACACACAACGTGTACACTCTAACACAAAAATAATACTATGCAACACAGTGGTTAAAGTGAAATGTAGTCCTACCAAAGCAATAAAGTGGTCAGTAATGGGAAAATATTTTACACTGCTTCAGCTTTTTAAATTTCAATTAATCAAAATTAGATAAAATTCAAAAGTTAAGTCCTCAGTCACACTAGCCTTGTGTCTTAGGAAGTTCGATCTGGTGGCCATACAGAATATACTAGATGTAGGGGGGAATGGAAGGAGCATCAGAAGACACTGACTGCAAGGTGTCTGCCCAATATTACCAGGTACTGCAATAATCCAGATTGGACATAAGAAAGATTCACTACAGCTGTGATGGTAGAAAAAGGTCAAATGTTTTTCATATGTTAAGTAGAATTAGCAGGATGTGAAGACTAATGGGACGTGAGAGACCAAAAATTCCAGAAAGATTATCAAGCACTGAGTGTTCCTGTCAGCTCCCAGTTCAGTTATTTAAGTCCAGCCTACTAGAATCTTTTGTACCAGTACTGATGTCCAGGAAGTTGCATTCCAAGATTGGTATTTGAATTAGGGGCCAAGTCTGCTAATTACCCCCAATATTCACCTCCCTTTCCTCCATAATAAAAAGAAAATCATCACTTTTTTACTTGCTTATGTGGCACTCAGGATCATGATCATCTTCCTCTGCCTTATTGGTCCATGGGTCTTCAGTTAGGGCCAACTGGAGATAGCTGGAATTGTGTGGCAATTTGGGGGAACCTTCCTTTAATGCACCTGGTTCATCCCCTTTTCTCTCTTTCTTCCTCCATGAGTCCACTCTGCTGCCTGGATTTGAATAATGTGATTTGGAGGGCTTTGGAGCAGAGCTACAATGCCAGGCTTAGACTGCCCACCTCCAGAATTTTATGTGACAGAAATATTTTCTTGGTTGAATCACTGCCATTCTGGGTCTGTCTGTCTTACTCATAGATGAGCATAATCTTTACTGATTCGTCCAGGTTGCCATCTATACCATATACATCACACCCAACAATCTTAATCAAAAGCAGAGCAAAGATTTCTCATGAGTGTTCTCATGTAAGTACTCATCCCCACCTCATCAAACATTCAGAGTACCTGCAAGTGGGAGACACATTTATTTTCCTTCTAGGACATACTTTTCTGCGTTTCTGGTAGAATGAGAAAAGTGCTAAATGACCTTTTGAAAATTGCATGAACTTTGGAGGTAAAGGCATTAGGAGATGCTATTTGAGATCATCCGTAGGGAAAGAAGAGCAGCCATGTTAATTTATAGAACATTGTAAGACAGAAGCTTTAATAAGATGCTCCTAAGCTTAAGACACATAAGCAGTGAGTGTTAGCAGAAGTAAGTGGAATTTCAAGCCCTGCTATACTTGGCTTTTAAAATGGGAGCTGTTCCCCCAGGTTTGGCTTTGGAAGATTGAAATAGAGCAATGCTTTGAGGCAGGTAGAGAAAGGGGAGCTATAATCCGTGAGGGAACAATCGTGTCTTGCATCTCCTAACTGACCAATTGACGATAATTCCATTCCGAAACTTGGGCTTAAGTCTGGACTGCTATCTCCAACCTTGGGAACCCTTCATTCTTTCAGGAGTGAAGATAGAACTCCAGCCTATCAGGTGCCATATTTCTGATTTAGAGTTTGCAGAGAGGGCTTACAATTTCTCTTAGAAAAGGTAGAATTGGAACTAGACCCATGGAGAAGTCTGAGGATTGAGATCTACACCATGATGTCCATCCTTGATCTTTCCTGAGCTGAATTCCTGACAGAAAGAACCAGATAAAAGGCTTATGTCCATGTCACTGTAAGGATGAAGGTTTCCTAAGGCCTGGGATAGGTACTCCTGTGAACTCCCAGACCCAAATTACCTCCTGTAGACATACAATTGGCCCTTCTCCCATTCAACCCAGAAACAAATATTTCAATTCCTTCTTCCACCAGCCTACCATCTACTAAGTTTGCATAAGTTCCAATCATGACCTCTCAAACTTTGTCTCTTTGATTCATTTCCCATCAGGATGCTGGGACCAAGCACTTTCTTTTGTCCTACAGCTAGCCCTTCTACTGGGGACCCAGTGACAATCTAAAATGTATCTGCCTTCAAAGATCTGCCTGTTGAGTTAGAAATGTAGACCAGTAAGAAGATGCTCATAATGCAGTGCAACTAAGAGCTGTGAAACAATGGTACAGGAGGCTGAAGTAGGTAGGCACCAAAAACAATCTGGCAGGACTTCATGAAATAATATGGAGACTTCTCTTTGGGCCACACTAGATAACCAAAAATCCTACAAAGTGTCTGGAAATGCTCAGTAAAATAGAAAAATTATTATTTCAAATGCTCATAGATAGTCCGTCAAATGTTTAGATAGCTGAGTATCTAAGAATATTAA